AGAAAGATTAAGATTAAGATTAAGATCGATCGACGTATTTTTGATTTTCGTTTCGTTCGTGAAATAAAAATAAAATGGAATGATTATGATTTTTATTTTATTTTACTTTATTTTATTTTATTTTATTTTATTTTATTTTATTTATTTTTTTTTCTAAAACCGATAGATAAATTATTCTCGTTGTAGTTTAAAGATTAAGTTCGATCTTGATTGTAAAAATAAAACAAAATTCTAATTTTTTTTTTTCTAATTCATTTTTTAGATTGTTGAAAAGTTACTCCTTATTCATCATAATTTAAGAAGTAAAAATCTATCGATTGATTTGTCATCATAATTATTTAGCTTATGCCCGTGCATCCATCGGTATTCGTAATTACGTTGGTAGTCTCACGACGGAAGTTAAGAAGCGCTTCCGGAAATGAGAGCTCCGACGTTCGCGACTAACTCTATTTCTCTTGGCCTTACCGAGATGTGGGTTAGCATTGGGTCATAGCAAAGTTCAAAAGGATTTTTCACGATGTTACCGATTAAAATAATAATATTCAAACTAAAAAATTATTAAAGATCAGGTAGAATATTTTTCTTTAAATTTCTTTCAATTTAATTTATTACTGCAATACATTATTTATTTTATTGTTAAAAAAAGAAAAACAAAAAAACTGATTGCAACTATAGTTTGCGAACCACTGGATTTGCGGGAAGTTTTCGAATAAGAAAAAAAATTTTTTTCTTTCTCATTTAACGATTAAACGACTTTCGATCATACGAAAAAGTAAACATCGAAAATTATTAACTTTGTGTTCAGTTTTTTTTTTTTTTTTTTTTTTTTTTTTTTTTTTATTATTATTATCTTATCGAATAAACTTTTGTCGGTTAAACGTTCGATTAACTCTTCAACTTTTTCACGTCATTATTTAACGTGAAATTCGACGAGTTCATAGAACGCAATAAATATTAGAAACTAACTCTCAATCGATTATTATTAAGGATACGCAGAATATACGTTTAGACACGGTTATTTCCTTTCGATATCGTTGAAAGTAAAATGCGTATTGCGAATGTAATTCTGATTATTTTTTCTTTATCTTTTTCTTTTTTTTTTTCTTTCCTTTTTTTTTTTTTCTTTTTTACAAGTAATAACTATTTTGTGAGCCGGAACAAAAGAAAGTTATATTGTAGGCTATGTTTTTTCAAAACCTGTACGCAATAAAAGAAAGAGTGAGAAAGTGTTAGAAGAGATGAGAAATATAATAATGTCTTAAATCAAAATTAAATACTCAGGGACTTTTGGCCTTCAGCCTGTATTTTTTTTTTTTTTCTTTTTTTTTTTTGTAATTATATTTAATAATAAATTTATAAAAAGAAAAAGTAAAATTTTTTAAATAAAGATAAATCTGTTTAAATATATTTTTCTCTTCCTTTTTCTATTTCTTTTCTTTTTTTTTTTTTTTTGTAAGTAAAATTATATTTTATAAAGTTTCTTATTCATTTTAAAGAGATATTGTTTAATATATAGAGAATGCATATTAAACGTTCCTCGTGGTTACAATAAACTTAGAAAAATGAATTCCTGTACTTTCAACATTCACTTTTGCGGCTGATCAGCCGTACTATGCGAGAAACGCGACCGCAAAACGCAACCCTGGCCACATGAAGGGGGCGAGTACAACACCTTTCTAAACAAGATCTAATAAATTTTCTATTCTTTATTGAGAACTAAGAAGAACTATAGAAAGGAAAAAGATGGTTAAAACAAACCACTAGAAGGCTACGATTACACCGCAAAGAAAACGTTCAAGTACGACGAACGATCGATATATAAACAAATTTATTTCTTTTTAATTATTATCATTATTATTATTGATCTCTTGAAACATATAACCGCAGTTCTATATTATTCAATTTCTTTTTTTTTTTTTTTTATTTTTTTTTTTTTTTTGTTGAAACGATAAAATTAATATAATAATTGTTCTCTTCTCTAAATTCAATCCAAATGAGATGATAAAAATGATGTCTGAAATTATATCTAAAATTATCTCGACAAAGTATCTATATCATTTGTTACATTATTGTATTATGTAAATTAAAAGAATGTGTACGTGCACAGGTGTCTTCTCAACCCAATGACGCGAAACTTTCACTAACACAACCGGTTGTTATCTCTTCGTTCTTTACACCATAAGCTAGAGATTTATATCATGATTTGATCCTTTCTAGAATATCCTATATATTATCATTTGTCTATTTGTCACATTATATTTAATGATTAAATCTTTATAATTTTGATCAAGAATAGTAATCACAAACAAATTTCTGCCATTTATCTTATAAATTTTAACAGCGTTCTAGTTTTTTTTCTCTCTCTCTCATTCTCTCTCTCTTTTTTTTTTTTTTTTTTTTTTTTAATAAATATAGATATAGAAAATAATATATATTAATGTAAGAATCGAAGCGGAAGAACCACGGTACGGTCTGATGATCATACGAATATCTCGGACAAACGGATCACTTATCGCCATGCTCGTTGAACGTTTCACGTGCAAATCTTGAAAGATTTCACCGCGATGATAGCTATAAGCACAATCCCAGCTGATCGTAAATCGTAATTCTTTATTTGCATGTAAATCGAATTCTTTGAAAAATATATCATGTAAAGATATTATCATCGGTAAAAACCGATAGAAGAATATATTTCGTTTTTATCATAGAAGATTTTAAATTATAATTTGATAATTAGTTAATTAGAATTATAATTATTAAATTATAATTCGATAATTAATTAATTCTCTGTAATAAAAAAAAAAAAAAAAAAAAAAAAAATGCGTTAATAGAATACTTCTAGGATCTTTTTTTATTTTTTTACTTTTCTTATTTTCTTTTTCTTTTTTTTTTTTTTTTGAATAAGACAATTTTTTAAATTTGTCAAAAATTTTTAATCAAAATGATATAAAGAAACGATTCTATATGGCGTTTATTGCTCGAAAGGAAACATCGCATAGACTATAGAACGTTGGTACTGTCCCGTAGCATGGTTCAAGGACGGACGGTATAGACCGAAGACGATAGCCACAAGATACATGCGTGGGTGCATTAACCCTTCGAAGTTCATGGCAAAGTAGATAGAATACCAATGTGTCCTTTATAGTTTATATTAACTAACCTTCGATCAATCTCGATTATCTTTAATATATTCATTTTTGATCTCAATTCGATCAATTTTATTTTTATCCGATAAAACATTATAGATGTATTTATAAAAAATAGAAAAGCGAACAAAAAGAATTACAAATAATCTTGAATTCTTCACATTACTCACTCATTTTTTTCGTCTTCCAATAAATATCTTCGTTAAAGTTGTTATAGACATGAATTTCCTTCACGATCCATGATAATCTAAATCAAAAATTGGATCCTCGAATATGGATTAAGGTTCGCTTTCATGCAACTAGCACGGCGATACCTTCGACCTTCAAGAAATTCCATCCACATCGATGATAATAAATTAAAAAATTTCAACTTGATATTGATAGAAGATATGTTAAAACGAATCGTTGATTATTTTTTACACCTGCTCTTTTGCACCTTCACTAAATATTTTTTGATAAAAAATTTCTTTCTTTTTGTTAACTCACGTTAAAATAGACACGACACAAAGTTTTCTTGTTCTTTTCTTTTCTTTTTTTGTTGTTATATTTATCGAAAAGGTTGAGATCGTATAAGAATAAAAAAAAAAAAATGGAGACTGACCGGTCCCTCACCGTTAACTTCTCCTTTCGAACTCACATTGGCATCGAGGTTTTGTACTCGACTGCGACAAGTCTTCCTCAGACACTGTCCAATCCCCCTAGAATCCTGTCTCCTGCCTGAACGAACGAACTGTTGGAGTAGGGTTGTTTAAAGGTAGGCATGGTAGGAGGATACACCTCTCGAAACGGAGAATCTCCTTCAAGTAAACCTGCTCGTATAATCGTTCCCGAGGAAAGCGGAAGCAGTTGGTCGAAATTGAATAAGTTAATATTTTTTCTTTTTCTTTTTTCTTTCTTTTTTTACAATTAGTACTATCAACAATTATTTTCTTATATTAAAATATATCTCATACGTATTTCGGATAAAGCAGGAATTTATTATTAATTGATCATATGTATATAATAAAACAAAAAACAAAACTATATATAATGTCTTGATCAAAAGGCATGATGAAATTTTATAAATAAATAATTTTTTATAAAAATTTTTTATATAGAAACTTCATTTATTTGAATTGGTTAATAAATATAATGTTAATATTGTTCATTCGATATTTAATATTACAACGTTTGTGTATTTTTACTAAAAATAGAGGAAAAATAATTTTATATAATTATTAATATTTGAAATGATTTTATTTGGGAAAATTTTTGTTAATCAGTTTTATAATAAAAAATAAGTGAAAATAAAATATGAAAAGAATATATATATATATATATATATATATATATATATATATTTTAAATAATACTGAGAACTTTAATTCTTTTCCTTTTGCGTTTTATAAAAGAAAAAGTGAAAAGGAAAGTTAGATAAGAATTTTCCCATTGATTATCTTACAATGTGCTTACATTAGAAATTAGCATTAGATCTGATAAATGACGTCATTTGTATTACTTGTTGGTAATATGATAATGTAAATAAGATTAAAAGAAAAGAAAAGATTCGAGGGATTTATAAATCGATTCTGTTTAACAAACTAAGTGTCCGACTGAGACGAGAAAACCAGTTTCACCGTTAACTTTTGTCTTGTTCGAATCAACTTCGATACTTCGGTCATCTCGTAATAAAAAAAGTATTAAGAAAATTCGTCTTATATATATGGTTCAGCGGATTAATGTTTTCCAAAAAATGTTCACATAATTTTATTCTAAAAGAAAACAAAGAATGACAAAATTTTGAGTTTAATATTTGAGTCTGATGTTGAGTTTGATAGTTATCTTTTTCATTTTTATTCGTTTAAATTGTTTTAGTATCGCTCCTGGTTTCCCAGACTCCGTTAGAACCTGTTTGTTACATCAAAAATTACAGGTACATCTCTTCTTCTTTTTTTTTTTTTTTTTTTTTTTTCATTTCTTAAAATTTGTTGAACAATGTATTATAATAATAATTTTATGATTAAAGATGATGAATTGTTGTATTGAAAGAAAAAAATCTAGAGAAGATTCGATAAATAAATCTCAGAGTGTAGAATACGAAGACTTTGAAACAGGTATAATAACAGTATGTTAATATATTAATATTAATAATATAATATAATATAATATAATATAATATAATATAATATAATATAATATAATATAATATATTATATTATATTATATTATATTTATATTCGTAGAATCAGAAGAAGAGGAATTTTTTGAATGTACAAGTGAAGTAGAATCAGAAAATGTAGGAACAAATGCCCAAATAAAAGCAAAACATTTGCTATGGAACAAACCAGCTGGAAGATTAACAAAACATCCTTCTTTAAGGTATTAACAAATGAAATCTTTTGATTAATTTTTTGAATAATTAATATTTTATTCGACAATAAGAGAATAATATAACGAAATTTCTAGATTATTACAAACAGGAGATCCCCTTTATTTACCTGTAACGCAAGAACCTGTTCCAAAAACGGAAGACCAATTGGAAGAAGACGCTCAAGTAATGATGCAGCTGGGAACCGACAAATATGCGTCGGAAATGCGAGCTCGTATGATGAGCGCCTCGTTGCTTTCCGACATGGAATCTTTTAAGGTATATTGCTTGAATAAATATTTAAAGAACAGATGATATTTAAATAATAGCTATGAAGAAAATAGAAAATATTAGAAAGGAATTTAGAAATGTAAAGAATTTAGAATTGTAAAGAATTTATTTAATTAAAAATTTTGTTCATATCTAAAATATCTAAAAAAATTTAATAAAATATAATAAAATGTATAATAATATATTTTATATAAATAGGCAGCAAATCCAGGTGCAATATTAGAAGACTTCATTAGATGGTATTCTCCCCGAGATTGGATAGAAGATAAAGGAACCAATGAATGGGGTCAACCAAATGGTCAGCTAAAGTCTTAAACATATATGAGATATATTTAATATATCTATATGTAAATACACACACACGCGCGCTCGCGCGTATACACAGCACAGGCATATACATACATACACACAAAAAGACTTTAAACATATATTTAAAAAAAGAACTTACATTAGTATTATTCCTGATGAATAATATAATGAAAAAATATCTAGGTCATCTCTCACCAAGAATGTTAATTCCTGAGAATGCATGGTCAACAACTTGGGCATCGGCTCAACCAGTACCAGCCCATCGTCAAAAACGATTATTCGATGACACGAGAGAAGCTGAAAAAGTTCTTCACTTTCTAAGCTCAAGAAAACTTGGTCAGGTCGCACGACTTCTTTTACCGTCCTTAACGCATGCTGCGCTTTACACTTTAAATTTACAAAAGCAAGAGGCTTTACCAAATTTGCCAGATGTTGCACAAAGTATATTAAATAAATTGCAATACGTTACGAAACCACTACATCAGAAATTACAGCTCTACGAAGTGAGTCTCTTAAAACTAATTAAATTAATAATTAATTAAATTTCTTTATTGTTATATTGATAATATATATATATATTTTTTTTTTCTTTCTTTTTCCATTTTAGGAAATAACACGTGATATAGAAGGTGTAGAAGCTTTAGTTGCACAGGTCAACTCATTGCAATTGAAATTAGGTGGAAGTGACGATTCTAAAGAATTTACAACATTTTTGATAGAATTAATGAGAGGAAAAGAAGTATTTGTGCCAGATGGACCAAGAGGAAACATTGGCGCTCGTATAATGTCAATGTTTCGAGATGCTCAGAAAGTAAGATGCATTTAATATTTTTGTACAATTGTTAAAAAAAAAAAAAAAAAAAAATAAATAAATAAAACTTTAACAAAAATAAACATGTCGATATAATTTTGTAGGCCGTACATATGATGACCTCTGTAGGTACGAGTCATGAAGTAGATACAAGTGGAGATAGTAAATACAAATCATTCCCAGAACCATCCTGGAAGGAATTTATATTACGGGCAATAACGACAAGACCTTCAGTGGCTTTAACATCACAGCCACAAAGGATGTATGCGTGCCTTAATCGAGATTCCATTCGTCTGGCTGGTTCATTCTCTGAAGATACTGTATTTCTATAGTCCATAATTGAGGTAATTTAATTATAAGATTTGATATATTATTTAAATATAGATTGTATACAATTTTTCTAATGGTTACTGTAACGTTATATGTTTTTTTACAATAATGAATCTTATTTCTTTACATTTTAGATACATTCTTTTATATATAGTTTTAGGAAAGATGAAGTTGTGATATATGATGTACTATAGCTATGTGATGTACAATGTTAGTATACAACGAGTTTGTTGCAATATTTTTTGTAAAGTTTATATTTGTTACTTTTTATACAAATTTCCAGCTGTCTAATGAATTATAAGTCTTTCTTTTTTTTTTTTATTATTATTTAAAAAATAATATAATAGATACTATGTACACACACACATACACATACACATACACACACACACACACATACACATACACACACACACACACACGCACGCACACATACACATACATACACACACACACACACGCACACATACACATACACACATTAATACACAACAAGAACTCATATAAACAACGTACTATTGAGAATCGTATATATGTAGTACGTATATAATTATTAAATAATAACTATATTTATTCTAATAAAAATATAGTCTTTTCCAATTTTGGTTTGGCAAAAAGGAAACTTTGTACAACTTCGTCAATTTCTTCCAGAGCTAATTGAGCATGTAGACGTAGTACTGGATCTTTATCGGTATCTCTTAAATGTTTTAAACTACGATATAAAATAACCAAATCTTTGCTAAGATCGGTTAAAACATGCTTTCCTAATCCACGAACTAAAAGATTGATGACTAAGACTGCTGCTCGACGACATTCAAGTGCTTTGTCAGTTTCTAAGATACAATTAATACAGTAGAGTATCTAAAAATTTGTAAAAATTATTTTCGATTATTTCACATAATTTATATATTTTTAGATATTAAAAATAATAGAATTTACTTTATTTACAAACATTACCTCTATGATAATATTTCCAAGACGAAAACCTAATACTTTACAAAGTTCTCCAAGACAAGAAAGACTTGATGCACGTACTAATGGATCCGGATCACGTGTAGCACATAAAAATCCATTAATAAGTATATTTTTATGTGTCAAAGTCATTTCACCTGTAAATATTATATTTATAAGAGTACAGTTATCATTTTCGTTCAAGTCATATAAAAAGATATATAAACACTTTTACCTAATCCTCTTGTTGTTTTTACTAATATTTCACCAAGTTTTATTCTATTTTCTACAGAAATATCTCCACTTGTAATTCTTTGTGGCATGTCAATGTACTCTTGAACTAATGTTTCTATTACTATTTGAGGATATGTTACAGCCAAAGAACACATACCGTTTATTGCAGCAAGATAAATGAAAGAATCTTCGTGTTTCAAATTTTCCTATAGCAAAATGAAAATCTAAGGATATATACACACTTATTATAGGGGTACAAAAGATAAAGAGATAATAAACTCACTTGAAATAGGCGTAAAAGAATTGTTTTTCTAGCAACAGCAAATGGATCCTTTGTTTCAATTAATTTTGTTAAAGTTATGATCCCATGAGCACGTACTGGAAGTAGCGGATCTGACAAATCTCGAATAGCTTCTTCAAATTTATTAAATTTTTTATAATCTATAGATAAATCTTCATAATGTATTTGATTAAATTGCTGTTTGCTTTCAATGAATTGAAGTATTTCCTTCATAAGTACTACCAATTGTGACGAAATAGTGGAATTATTAATTTGTTCTTTCAGAAACTTTGCGAATGATTCAAAATGTGTTCGATTCAACATTTTGCTTTCAGAACTTAGAATCATTTTGATCAACATTAAACTAATGTATATAATTTCATGATCATCGTTTTCAGTATTATTTTGATTTTTAATTACTTTCTCATTAAATAAGGATTTGATAAAATTTAACAATGGTTCAGGATTCTTGAGTTGTGCTTCTTGAACAACAGATTTGTTTGCCAAATGTGAGAGAAGTTTAATAGCAGCTAATTGTTTTTCAATGCGTTCTATTATGTCATGAGATGTTTCTAATGTATTATTGCAGGACCATTTTGTAGAATTTGATAGAGACATCAATAAATAAGAGAATAAATTAGTAATAAGTACCTCATTAACAGATATTAAGTCAAACAAACTATCTGCAAATTCCTCATATGCTAAATTCTTTATGGTTCCAATAATTTCAAGTCCACCATTAGATCCAAATTGTATGGATATATATTGTCCAAAATTTTCTTTTATATTATATCCAAGGAATGCAGAAAAAAGATCATGTTGTAAATTTTCATCGTGCAGAAGCTTCAATAATAATTGTCTCACTTTGTTCCTTAACAAGCAAGTACTAGATCTTATTTTGTTATGAATACAAAATAATGGAATAGCTATAGTCGATATAAGCTTGTGAGGCAAAGATTTAAATTTTGCCTCTGTTGGTGCAAAACAAGTCATAAGATTTTCAATACACGTATTCAATTCACATTCAGGTACTATTATTTCTGTCTCTTTTTCATGATCCAAGTTTGTTATTAATAAAGGCTTCATTATAATATTAATTATATTTTTCTCACAAATATCAGGATTACTTTCATAAAGAGCTATTATACAGCTATTAGCTATTATTGAGTAATGATTAATCTGTTTTAATGTTAAAAGATTCAGAAGCTAAAAGAAATGTATATATTTGTTATATTAGACAAACAATAATATTATTGAATCATAATAATTTACAGAAATATTATATAATTATATACCTGTGGACATATAGCTTCATAATATTTATTTTTATTCATTTCATGTGATGTAGCAATTAATCTAGCAAGTACATCTAACTTGTTCCAATCAGTTCCAAAATCTAATGTATCACTGCACAAAGTGGCAATTAATGACACGACTCCATTAGGTTGCTGAATTTTTTCAATTAAATGTTTTCTAGTTATTCTACGAATCCACATTGGTGCTTTTTGAATTCCCAGAATAATCATCAACTCCTTCATAATTATATATTGTGGACAATTATCAAATAAAGTTAGTAATTCAGATAAAAATTGTTTCTGATCGTTTTGTAATTTTTTGTGTAAATCAACAGTCATTATAAATTGTTCCTTATTCATTTCATTTTCTTGTTTCAAAGGTAATTGTTCTTCGTTAGGTTTTGTTAAAGGAGCATATGATAATTGTAGCAATGCTGCAATTAATGGACCAAATTGAGAAAGAACAGCTGGCCGTAAAAGACTTCCATTGTAATATTCAATAAGAGAACGGCTTGATAAACATAATCTCTCATATTTCTGTAAAATGGATGTCTTTTCTTCTATTAATTTTGAAGCTCTAGGACATAACTTTTTCATATCGATACCAATTCCAGGTAACAAGCATGGTATAATTCCTATTGATACTATTAACTCTATTGCAATTTTAAATGTATGATATTGTTGAACACTAATACAGTCGTCGTGATTGATTTCATCTATTATCTGAATCTTTTTTAATATATACGTAATAGTTTGAATATATTTGTACCTATAATATAGAAAAATTCAAATATATCTTAGTTCATAATAGAATATAATTAATCATTAATAAAGTGATAAAATTTATGATATATATATATATATATATATATATATATATATATATTTATACATATATTTATACATATATGTATAAATATATACATACCTTATATCTACATCATTATTTGCACTATCGTTATCACCGAATATTATATACTTATCATTTTTCGATAATAGAGGAAGTGTCTTGTCCAAAATTTGTTCTAATTTATTTTCAAAATCATTGGCTTCTATAAACGCATAATCATATATAGATTTTAAATATAAATTTTAATGATACATTATAGAAGAAAAGTTTTATCAGTATACAATATATTTACCAGTTTTATCTGTTGTTAATTTATACAATATTTGAGAATAATCTATTTCTTTTGATTCTTTCATTGTTTAATTCAATATCCAAACTTACTGTAGTTTTCGTTTCATCACAGATAAGTACATTTACATTAATCTGTTAAATTATAATATTAACAAAAAAAGGTTAACATAAATAAGCGTATTGCAGAATAGATGCACTTAATTTCATTATAATGCCGTCAGATGTGCTAGTGTCGCGTCATCTATCTGTCAATTTTGCGGTTAGTTTATAGTTGCTGGTAAATTTAATTAAACATTTTGTTTGCATATAATGTTTCGATGATTTTATCATATTTATATAATATTATTAAATTTAAAAAATGGAGTCTTATTTTAATGATTGGACTTTTCATTTTATACGTGAATATAAATATAAATATAAATCTATCCATAGAGAGATTATGTGAATTGCATAAATGTCCTGCATGCTATGGCATTTCTGAATGTAATTATATTAAAAATATAAATATTACATTGGACGATATATTTTCTTTAATTAATTATTTATTTGGAGTAAAAAACGTTTTTATGGGAAAATATTTCGAAACCAAAGTTGTATTGAAAAAATTAGCACATACATCAGAATTGAAAGCATTTGATGAAATGCTTTGCGAAAATAAGAATTTACAATTTCTTTGTAAAAATAATTTGAAAATAAATAATCACAGTTCTCAAGTTGATTTTTATGAATTAGTTAAAAGAAAATTAATCTCTAGTTTTACGCAAGATGATAATAGTCTTTTAAGGCTTTGTCCAAGTGATAGAAATATAGATACTCTTTTTCATAATTTATATGTTAAAAATAAAGAATTGGAATCAAATATTTTTTATATTAATTTGTGGACATTGGTGATGATTAATCCAGAACCACTTTTGCTTCAGGTAATATGGAGTATATGTTTAATTAAAAATATATAGTACTTTGTAGTTTTTAGATATTACCTGAAAGCAAAGGATGGCCAGTTCCAAAATATTTAGGCTCTTGTGGAAGAATCATTGTTGAAGAATATGTAGGATTACCAATTGTAACATATTATGATGCACCTTGGATTTATAGAGCAAAGATAGTTTCAAGTCTTTTAAATGCTGCATATATGTTTACGTTTAAGAATAAAGATTTCGGATTTTATTTGACTGATATTTCTATAGATAACATAGCAATTAATTCAGATGGCATTGCCAAATTCATTGATTTAGAAAATATCATTGTTGTTGATAAAAATATATTGGACAAAGGTAGTATATATAAATTTTTATTTTATAGAGTAATATTTTTCTTAAATAATTCTCTTTGTTAGATTCATAATTCTATATATATTTTAGATAAATCTACAACATGGTATAAAATACAAGAGAATACGATTGATATTAATTGCTTAAATTGTTTTTCCTTCTCTTCTATAGATATTTGCAATCATCAATTAAGTGATCACAATTATTATGCTATTTGTCGGGTATGTTTATAAGTAATTATTTTCTGGATAATTTTATTGATTCAAAAATTTATTACAATAATACAATAGAAATATATAGGTGTATAGTAAATTTTTAAATATTGCTGTTTATTACTTTATAGATCTTATTGTCACCAAAAACTAGTGATACTTTAATTCCTGGTGGCTTTTTACATGACATACCCAATAATATTTTACAACAATATCCAGATTTGGAATATTTAATAAAGCAATGTGCTGTTTATGATCAATTACAGAATCGAATTAATAAAGGACAACATCTTAAACTATTGTTAGATACTATCATAGAAAAAAATAATAAAATAGAGGTATATAATTTTATATAAGTATAATTAAAGAATTTTATATTTTTAAGAATGTTTATATTTTATTAAATAAAAATAATAATTTTTACATTATGTATTTTTATTATATCCTTATAATTGTACTCTTTTTAATTATTGAATAAAGTAATAGAAAAACATTAGAAAAATGTAATATATAAAATAAATATATGTTCTAATTATCTATTTATGAATGTATAAACGTTCGTTCATTCTATTGTACATAAATACTATCATTTACTTCCATATAAAATTTTATTAATCACATACATATCAATTATAATAGGTTTTATTGGTTTTCTGATGGAGGTTCGGATTTAGTAATAAATGCCTGCAGCATAGTGATTTTTTCTTGTAATTCTCTTATTGTATTATCTTTTTTGACAATATCATGTTTTAATTGCGCTATTACTACATCTTTATCTTCAGTTACATTTTGTAATAGTTCATCTGTCGATGGCCTTTTATTAGGATCTTCTTGTATTAATTGGCAAATTATATGAGCCTATACAATTGTAGTGTATTATTTATAAAGATAGGAACATATATATAAAAAATATAATTTTAATTTATTTGAAGGATTTCAAATGTAGAACTTACCCATTTTGGATGATTTTTAATTAATGATACTGGTAATTGGTCTTTTTTCAATTCATCAATAATACAACAAAGCTCCATTTGTGTTTTTGTATAAATTAATAGCTCTAACAGAACAATTCCTATACTGTATATGTCACTCTGAGAGCACAAAAACGAACAGATGAAAAAATAATTATAATTTATATATTTCATATTTATTTAATTGTATATAAGATCTATCATAAATATATTTCTCTTCATTTGATTATTATACCTTTGGATTGCATTTTCCTTTCAATTGTTCAGGTGCTGCATACATATGTGTACCAAATACAGAATCATGATCTTTTCTTTGCAACGGGCAAGCTAAACCAAAATCCCCTAATTGGATTTGAAAATGTGCTGTTATGAATATATTGCTTGGCTATAATTCAGAGAAAAGTAATATTTTAATATCTTTTTATTTGATGCATTAGTATATTCATTTTACCTTTATATCATGGTGTACCATTCCAAGAGAATGTATATGATCTACACCTTGAAGAATTTGTGTAAATATTGTAGTAATTGTCTGTTGTGAAGTAGAATCATCTCGTTCCTTTAACCACTGTTGTAACGTTTTATCACAAAGTGCCATTTGAATATATAAAGTTGCATAACAAGGGTCCTGAAATAAAATAATTTAAGTAAAATTTTTATAAAATTTAATATATTATTATACAAACATATGTTTAGTATTACTTAATAATACTAACCACTCGTGATTTATATTGATAAATTTGATTGTTAATATCACTACTAGATTCATCATTTGAGTCACTAACTATATAATTGGCATTACTTCTTGAATAATCATTATTACTTTTACTGTTATTACTATCATTTCTAAATGATACAATATCTGAAGTATCTTCTGTACTGGTTGAACTACTTCGTTCGATTATTCTTTGTCCTATAATATTAGTCAATGAATTGAGTTCAAGAAATCTTTCATTAATAATATCGTGACTTATTATATAACCACCTGCACTTCCACTCACATGTTTTTGAGCATTGTTCTCTATGTGAAAATACATACCAGTTTTGTAAAATACTTCTTTATCGGATTTTAACGATATATCTTGTCCGCTGTTTTTTTTACTGTTGTTACTATTAGAAATCAATTGACTATTGTTATTAAAATTATTATTTTTACATGATTGATGAGGTATATTTCTTTTTGCTCTATATTTTGAAAAATGGCTCTTGCTTCGTTCATTCCCTACATTTGGTAAACTTGGAACAGTAGTTGTTACTAATGTAGGCTCTATCCAAGCAGTCTTATAAGCAACTATATTCATATGATTTAATTTGGCAAGACTTTTGACTTCTTCAAGGTGTTGCTTTATAGTACTCACATGTCCAGATTGTACAATAATTTTTTTCACTGCATATTCAATACCATCCAGACGATGTAATGCTTTATATACATTACCAAATCCACCACCGCCAATAAAACTTATTTCATGAAATTCTCTACGATAGCGTGACCATTCAGCCATCAGACAACTATATCATAAAGTATGATAATTAACATTAATAATTTTATTGTACTGTGCAACACATTTAGCTTTAAAAAAATTAAAAGTGAATGCTAATTTACCTAGGAACATTCAAAGGATGTTCACTGCCAGTAGCAGTGCGTGCAAGTGCAACTAATCTGTATAATGCATGTTGAAATTGACCTCTAATACCTTCCAATTCCATTGAATTATAAGAAGTATCAATTAGTCCTATTTCATGAAGTCTATCACATATCTCTGCAAAATCAAATATAATTATATCATAAATTATAATGCATTTTAATAATATTCTTTTCATATTATTTATTTCATAGAATATTTTTATAAATTACTAAAATAAAGTTTATTCCTTCGAACAGTATCGCCTTCAAACATTGTACATATCTGTTTGATTAGTGATTCAATTAGAAGACTAATAGAAGAAGTAGCTGCAGGAATAATTTGTTCATTGTTTTGAGTTTCAGATCTGGTGTCCCATCGAATTGTCGTCTTGGTATTATTACCTATTATAAAATTTTCTTTATTTTATAATCAATTTATACATTAAATTAAATGTATTAGATAAAATTGAAAGAAAAATTATTAACATTTCTTCAAGTATAAACTAAAAATAAAGACAACAAAATATCTCGAAATTCATTAATTGAAATTATTAATATAAAAGTTAATTCGAAGAATATTATTCTACGAAAGATTTAAAAATGAGCGGGCTAATGGAGGTTAAGTTATTTACCTCTGTCAAATTTTGTTATGGTCATTAAATTTGACCAGGGATTATTATCTGGCACTGCTTTACGTTCCATATTTTAACCATGGATAAATATTTCTTCAAAAAATATTTATTTTACGTTTTATTAAACGATTACATTCTGGAACAAGAAATTGCAACGCATTGTCTAAAACTTTATGAGTTGTTGATCCGCCAATAATGATTTTATTTAAATTCACTATTGTCAGATACACGAAACCTTGCTTATCAATTGCATTCATAATAAGTTCAGCATAATATTACGATCAATTGTTAACATAATAAATATTGATAAATAATATAATCACATAATAATAAAATCATACCAATAAATAATATTAAATATATTGGTTCCTTTATTGTACTTACAATGAATTTTATTATCAGCCAATTGCAGCACAATTGCAACCATTAATTCCCCAAAATTTCCTGATAACTTTTCTTTTTATAAGCGACAGATTACTTTTTTCTGCTTATCGTAGAATAACCTATATATATTATATATATATATATATATATATATATATATATATATATATGTATTTACAGATTTACTTCTTCCAAGATGGATGGAAAGTATTAGTTATATTTGGGCAAACTTTGTATAGTCATTATTTCTGAATGCATAGTCATTACATAAGGCGATATAGAATACATAAAAAAATTTAGAATACAATTACAAGAATGACAGCGCTTGGAAATCATCTATGTATATGGTTATTATGTTATCTTCAGAAAACACACAGAATGCTAAAAACTTATGAAATGGACCTCAACAAATAGAAAAAATCTATATAACGATAAAATATAAATATTTATAAAAATATTAATTTAAGAATTAATTTAGATTTAAAATTAATTGTACATTTTGTTGAAGCATTTTCAAATAATAAATATTTGAATTATATTATAATTTAGATATACATAACAAAATACTACTGTAAGTTATATTATATCCTATATGAAGAAATGAGCAATATTTATAAATTTGACAAATTATTTAAAAAACTAGTAATTTTATTTTGAAATCACTTACTCGTAAATACAAACACTAGATTCAACAAAGTATTTCAAAGTTCTTGGGTCTGTATTCAAGATAAAATTGCAATACAAGAGTTCCCCATGTAATAGTATAGAATGTAACCAATATCAAATTGTATTAAAATATAGAAATATGTATATAATAAAAACGTTTTCAAGAAAATCTTACAAAAAAAGTATTAATAAAAGTAAATTAAATTAAAATCAATATTATTTATTTACTTCCTAATTCCTATCAACTTCCAATTTCCCCAACATTTCGACTAGAAATGTAAAGAATGATATTCCCACAAGCATGTCTGTGTAATAAGATCAGATTATGTGCGATTCTAATAAATTATAATCTCCTGTTCAAAAATCCAAATTACAGGGACCGCGAAAATTTGTCCCATAAAACTGGATTTGTAACAGGATCATATGACTTGCGAAGAGGTAGCACGTTCTCGCGTACTACCTCCTGGTAAGTTATATTCCCCTGATCAAAAATCCAAATTACAGGGACCGCGAAATTTTTTCCCGTAAAACTGGAATTGTAACAGGATCACATGACGCTCGAAGAGGTGGCACGCGAGAACGTGCCACCTTCTTGTACGTCATATTCTCCTATTCAAAAATCCAAATTACAGGGACCGCAAAATTTTTTCCCGTAAAAGTGGATTTGTAACAGGATCATATGACTTGCGAAGAGGTAGCACGTTCTCGCGTACTACCTCCTGGTAAGTTATATTCTCCTGATCAAAAATCCAAATTACAGGGAATGCGAAAATTTTTTCCCGTAAAACTGGATTTGTAACAGGATCAGATGACTTGCGAAGACGTGTCACGTGGAATCGTGCCGTCCATTACAGGTAAGTTATATTTTTTTGTTGAAAAATCCTCCGTGAAAATGTTTACCGCACATTTGAATTTGGATCATCACATGACAGGCAAGAGCGTAGGTTAGTGAGTCACTTCCAGAAATGTATACTACTATATCCTGTTATAAGTTTCAAATTATGGAAAAAATGCGAATATTATTTCCCAAAAGTCTGGGTTTGTAACATAATCACAATGATTTGCGGGAAAGTAGTTGCAGTAGATAAGTATAGCACATAAAAACGATTATTAAGTAAAGAAATTTTTCTGTTCAGTTGGTAAGATTCGAAACCGTAATTGTCGCTGGAATTCGTACGCAAGTGTTATGCCACTGTGTCCAATGTCTTCCTTTTGTTAAAGATGTTTAAAACTCCTATTTGTGTTATACTTTTCTTATTTCCGAAAATTCTTTTCTTGTCGTATTTATTATATCTCTCACCTATCTTATCTACTCTTGTTATTTTAGTTTTAAATTATTTATCACATTCTTGTTTATTTGATTAGTATTTTTGTTATTTTCGTTTTCTTTAAATAATATATAGAAAGTACATTGTACTCGATAATTATATAGATATTTGCTATATCGTATAAACTACATTTTATTATATTACAGTATAATACAATACAAATTAAAATATAAATAGTATATAATATAATGTAATATAATATATAATATTGAGTTGATCGGAAACTTCGTGCCGATTTTGTCTTTATACCATCAATTAAAAATCGGCATGAATTTTTCGGACAACCCAAAACAATATTTTATATTTTATGTAATATAATAATGTTATGTAATTTTATATAATACAAAATACATTTTATTAAATATGCATTATTTTTTTAAGTACAAAATGTTTTAATGTTCTAAAAATTCCTAAACATATGTTTATAAAAATGTCTATAGAAAATACCTAATAAAATAATTAACCTTAACGTAATTATATTAGTAAAAAATTGATTTTTTTAACACTCTTAGCGTTATCTAGTATAAGGTATGATAGTAAATTAAGATAATAAGAGTTTTTAATATTTAATGAACAATAGTTTCTCTCTTTTTATTCAATTAATACCACTATTGTTACATGTTCTTATTTTAATTCGAGAATTTTTGCGATAGCATTTCACGAAGATAATTTATGGCTGCAGTAATCTCATCTTGTTTTTATTTTCTTATTTCATCTTAAAAAATTCATAATACGATTCCATATTATTCTTTTCCAAGTACTGCTCTCAATGTAGTGAAATAAGAGAAAGATGAAGTTAAGTACTGAAAATACATCCAACATGTATTAATATTTTTATTGTTATTAACTTTTCTATACACATTTGTTATACAATAATTAAAAAGAGGAAAGATTTTAATTATAAATTGTATATTTACTGTAGCATAATATTGAAGACACAATGGTATTTTCAGTTTCCCAATATGAATTGTTTCAAATTTTTGCGATCTGATGATACACTGCACAAGATTTCTTCTTACACGAGGATTACATTTCAACCAGTTCGAATTATATACATCCCAGGAGATATTACTGCTCTAGACAAAATAATACAAAGTTCTATGATAAATATAACTATATGTTATAGTATAAATATAACTATAAATTTATATGTACATAACATTTGTATGTACGTAACATTGTATATATATAGCTGGAAAAAGCTTACTCTATTTATTAAATTATCTGCGGGCCAAGCAGAAATCAGAAGTTCTGTACTGGCCACACACACAATGAAGAAATATTGGATCTTCACTGTCATTGGTTGTTGCTATTGTTAAGAAAAAAAATTAATCATAATATATAAGTAATTTTATGTTATATATATATATATATATATATATATATATATATATATATTTTGTAATATTAGTTTTTTTTATAATAAAATAATACGTATATGATAGGTAATAAAATATATATATAAATAAAAATATTATATTACTGCTCTTTAGCTTACATCGACGATATTTAAACCAGCGAAGATAGTACCTATTGTAGCTGTTAGTACGATAATTAAAATCAAATGTAAAATAACATTTTTAGTCTCAGATGCATACCTGAAAGATGATCAGGACTTTTTCATTAAGCAATACAATGTTATGTTTGCGTTTATTACCTGAGTATTTCCTGATGTTTCTTTAAGCAAAAATTCAATTCTTCCACATTTCTAAATTCTCTGATATCCTTTGATAAAACTTCGAATTTAGCACCGATATACCAGAGAAGAGCAGCAAGTAGACAATCAATACACATGCCAGTAGAGACTTGTAAACCTGCTAAGGTTTGATGAAAAAAGATTATTTCACGAATTGGTGAATAATTCACAGAAAAAGGATATTTTGCATTAGTCGGAAATCTTTGGGACGTGTATAGTGGACTACAGATAATGACGATTGCTGTTAAATAACATAAAGTTGTGTAAAGTGTGTGAATATATTTGCATTTATCTATGTATCCTTCAAATACAGCTTTTTCTCGACTAGTTTTAATTTTGCAAGAGTTCTCAAAGTCGAAGAGTAAAGACTGAAAAAGGAAACAAAAAAATTACTATTATTAGAAAATTTTTAATGAATTAGTGATTATATAAGTGGTACAATAAGTTATATATATTTTCTTTTTATTTTTTTTTTTTCTTTTTAAATATTTCGAGTTTGAATTACATATTCAACAAATATTCTTTTATAACGAGACATGAAGATAGAAAAATATTAAATATATATTTAAAAATTATAATTGATTATGTAATTAAATAAGTTCAGAATGATAATAGCACATGTCTTTTAAGATTTCAACTGACTTAGGCCACTTTTATAATCACCAGCTTTATTAATAAAAAGACATACGACAAAAATTGATTATGATAACTTACTTGTAATCGAGAACGTTCAAGACGGCAGAGTATCATTTTAAAAGTGATCTGTATGACAGCACAAGACAAACAGATCGACTTGGTCATGCCAATGGAATCATTACGATTCTCATAAATAGCATTTATCAATGGAAATAAAAGAAATAGTGTGTTGATAAAAAGGACGTACCAAGAGAGTTCAAATAAAATGATATGAGAACGTTTTGCCTTTGGTGAAGGTGGCCAACAGGCAGATAAGATAACACTGACTTTTAAAAAGAGAATAGCTCTTTCTGCAGGTATTTTAAACATCGTTTAAAACTCTTCTTGATATAACGTTTGTATTAATACTACTTCGTTTCTCTCATGATACTTCCTTCTGTGAAGGATAATGGTTCATTAATAATCTTCAGACGAGTAGATTGAAAGACTGACTGACCGATACGTTAACTCCTCCTTTGAATAAATCATAATTTCCTTCTAACGTTCCACATCCAATCATTTGCTTTGAAATTATATCTTTCAATGATAATAAGTAAGTACACACGTTAGATGTACATTTGTATTGATTTTTTTACTTTAAGTACAGACTATCGTCCATCATGAAATATTATTTTACTTTATATGGAAGAAAAGAAAAAAGGGTTGAACCTTCATCGAGTTTCCCTTTACATCGAGTAAAATGTATTGTTAGAGAGCGAATGGAACGTAAGAAAGATATATTAAAAAGAAACACTTCTGTGTGTATTGAAGAAAAATTATTGGATTATATACGATCTGTTTTAATTTATATATAACGTAAGTACTTATATTTAAATACGTAAGTACGTAAGAAAAATATTGCTTTCTTCATTATTCATGATATTACTGTGTACAATTTTTTTTCAATTATGATAATAAATAATATTTTATTGAACTATTATATATATATATTGCTATAATGATTGATGTAATATCAAATATTATTTCTATGTTGAAAAACTTTCATAAGAGAAAATTTCTTTTATGAAATTCCTGTATCACTATCACTGAGCATAGCTCGTAACGCGGTGAAGTACGAAAACGATGTTGATAAGAACTGAAATTATATATAACATATTAAAAATCATTTTGTACTAATTCTATATATGCCTATATAATATTTGACAAATTATTGATATATATATATTTTTTTTTTAAATATTATACACATTAAATATTTCATTCTTTTCTTATTTAAATGTTCATACCGATGCATAATATTGTAAGGATAATGGTGGAAGTACGCTTCCTATACGAACGCTTTCAGCTTTCTGCGATCTCAAAATACATTGTAACAATGTTTTCCTCGTTTTAGGTTTAACTAATAACCAATTTGAATAATAAACACCCCAGGAAATATTCGAACTCTGAAAGAAAATGAAATAAAATATTTTACATTATTTTAAATATTATATATATATATATACGTGTAAAAAAATAATATAATAAATAAGTAAAATACCATGGTAATTAGATTGTCTGCTGGCCAAGCACAAATAAAAAGTTCAGCACTTGCACTAATTACTATAACAATGTATTGAATCTTAACGATTAATGATTGTTTCTGTCATTAAGAACATTTTAAAAATTAGTTGATATATAAGTAAAATTATAAAAATTGGAATTACTTACACTGACGATATTTAAACCACCAAAAATAATGACTACGTTCGTCGTTGTGACGATAGTTAGGATCAAATACTTCACTACATATTTTACTTGCTTTGTATATCTAAAACGATTCTATTATTAAAATTACGTTAATATAAATATTATTTATGTTATTTATTAGGTTTATCAAAAATTTTTGTCAACTTAGCACATAATTAATTTAAATAATGACTTTTCAAATTGTTATTTTCATTTACTTAAAAAATAGATAAAATTTTTTTAATAGACCTGATCATTCGTTTAATTACCTAATAATATCTTGATGTTTTTTCAAGCAAGTATTTAGTTCATTCTCATTTTTAATTCTTTTCAATTTTTCTGCTAAAATTTCATACTTAGCACCAACATACCAAAGAAGAAGAGCAACTTGACAATCGATAGTCAAACCAGCAGAAGCTTGGAATCCAACTAAAGTTTGATGTAGAAAAATGATTTCTTTTATGGGATGATGTTCTGTCTGAAAGGGATATTTCGCATCAGTAGGAAAATTCTGATTAGTATATAAAGGACCACAAACGATGATGACAGCAGTCAGATAACAGCCCATTGTATAAGTCACATGTACAAATTTGCATCTTTCAACAGTTCGTTGAAGTATCGATCTTTCTTGATCGTCAGCATTATTGCAAAAATTGTCCATTTCAAAGAACAATCCCTAAAACAAAATTACTAAGAAATCAAAATACAAGCTATGTATAGGATTTAATCAAAAATTCATATTCATTTCGTACTTGAAATTGAGTACGTTGAAGCCGACAGAATATCATTTTGAGAAGAACTTGAACAACAGCACAAAATAAGCAAATAGATTTGCTCATGACAACGTAATTATCTCGTAAAACATAAAGTGCATTTAACAATGGAAATAAAAGAAACAATCCACTCGCAAAAAGTGCGTACCATGAGAAATCAAAAATAAGTATTCGAAATTTCGTTGCTGTTGGTGATGGTGGCCAAGATGAAGCCAATCCAACGCTGAGCTTTGTAAAGAGAAAAGCTGCTTCTGGCGACGCCTTCAATAACATTGTGGTTCAAATAAAAACCTTTAGTGATATGAGAAAAGGGATCTGTACTATTAAAAAGTCACGAATTACTTTTATATTCTTCCTTTCTTTTTTTTCCTCTTCTTTTTGTAAGAACCTTTTTCTATTCGATTAAAAATTCTTATCAGCTGATAGTCTAATCTATTTCTCTAGGTAGGTATATATTTTCAATAAATAGCATTTCCTACTGTTGGCCTCCTCCACAAGCTAGGAAAGGGTTTATATCGATTAATAAGTTAAAACTACGCCTGTTGAGAGTACTATGTAATCAACGTGTCGTTAGTTCTATACAATTACCCATTGCGAAAGAGGGTACTTTTATATGGAAGTAAAGTATCGTTTGATTCAACGTATCAATATAAGTACATACTTGTTTCTTTCTTTCAGTTTATGGATATGTACGTATGTATTACAAGTCTAGTCTGCAGTGTGCAAGATATCTTCGGAATAAAATGATCTGAAGTTATGTGAAGGAAAATACAAACAAATTGATAAAATGGACGAAGAGAGAAAAAAAAGTAAGTATAATTACGTTTTAACAATGAGACAAGAAAAAGTCAGATTTTATTCTTCTATCATTTGTCTCATTGTCATGAAATAAGATGAAATTGTGTAAAAGAACTGTAAAAGAAAAAAATAGATAGATATATTTAATTGAAATTTTCAAATTAATTTTTCCTAATAAATAATATTTGCATATTGTCCCTTACATTTGCATAATATTCGAGAGTTAAATTGGGAAGTAGACCACCCATTGAAATCAAAATTGGTTTTTGACTTCTTACTATTATAATGCGTACGTCGGTTGCCATGTTGGAAGTATCTTCGAACCATTTTGAATTATATGCCGATGTCGCGAGTTTCATACTCTAAAAAAATAATTTATAATTATTATTAGTTATACACAAGAGATAAATTTATAACAATATATAGAAATCAAAAAAATGTTTATACCGTTTCTTTTAAATCATCAGCAGGTAAAGCTGTAACATATAATCTTTGATAGCTAGCAATCATCATGCAAATAAACTGTAGCTCTATGTTTATTGGTTCATGCTGTAATACCAATGTTTATTCATACCGACCAATTAATTATCTTGCTGATTAATTAATACAAACAAAATTAAAATATTTTTATAAGTTTTATATAACGCACGTGTAGGAGCGAGAATGTCGCACCAATTGCAGTTGCGCCCATTGTCACGTTCGTTTTGAATAATAACATTTCAATAACGTTTTGTGTTTCGGATATGAAACTAAAAATAGAGCGAGAGAGAGAGAGAGAGAGAGAGAGAGAGAGAGAGAGAGAGTAAGAGAGAGAGGGTAAGAGAAAGATTAGAATTAAAAATCATGGCCACAAAATAAATGAATTATAATTTGTACTTGCTTTAATATTTTCTGATGTTCCTTAGCGCAATTTTTTATTTTATATTTGTCCGTAGCATTTTCAAGTTTTAATCCTAAAATTTCTAATTTAGTAGCAGAGTACCACATCAACATTGCAATCATAAAATCCACACAAACGCATAATGCAGTTTGAAAGAGAACAATTACGTCCAAAAAGTATATCGGAATTCTAATGAATAATGATTTTATATCAAATGGAAACATAGCATCGCCAGGGACGTCGTTCTCCGCAAAGAATGGAGTAAAAGAAAATGCAATGGCCGCTAGAACATTTGATGCCGCCATTGTTGTGGAGATCGATGAATGATCTATATATTTTTGCATGATGGCTTCCTCCTTGATATTGCAATTATTAATAAATTCTTTCACTTCTTCCATGAGTTTCTGTTCAAGAATTTCATTTTATACATTTTATAAAAAATTATTTTATATTTAAATATAAAATATATTTAATGAAATAAATTAAATAATATTGAAATATAATGAAACCAAGATTTGCATTACCTGTAAATTAGTTCTTTTGAATCTGCATAAAATTAAAGCAAGTATAACGTCTATGAGAGTAGCTGTTTCGCATAAAGGTTTCATTAAAGTACCAACGTCCTTTTCATTTATATGATAATAATCGGCATAAAATAAAGTCAATAATATTAGAAATGCATTTAACACTCCTAAAATCCAACCAACATCTCGTAAGATCATTTCAAAACGTCCTGCTTTCTGAGATCCCGGCCAAGTACTGGTAAAATTTCCGGTTAAATTTAATAAACGTAACATTTGATTTGGTTTGATACGAAGTAGTACCATAATTGAAAATTTTTCAATAACTATCAAAGGAATGATACTATTGAAACGAAACTACACTAAGAATGTTGCAAAATTATTAACTATAATATATATCTACAATCATTTAGATCGATAAGTTATTAATTATTACCAACCGATAAATGTAATTATCTTTAATTTTCGCTACGTATCGCTACGATCAAAAGGTACCTATTTAATTATAATACACATTCTCTCGCGTGACTTTCTCTCTTAGTATAAATTAATACTAACTCTATTCGCGTATGGTGTCTATACCATCGTTATTATTTAATACGTTATTCTAGAGTTCAAAAACATTTTCTGAAAATTGACAGTTTTAGTAATTATCTAATGATAAATTTTTCACGATAATTTGCAATACACTTTGCAAGAAATTTACTTTAAAATCTATTTCCAGTATAGAGATAATTATTAGATAGATCGGTATATACCATTGATCGATAATCTTCTTAATTAAAAGGTAGAAACGTATATCGTAAAAATGTCTCATTGTTAATTCAATCTCTTTGAAAGATAGTGTAAAGCAAGTTATGTTGCATTTTTAAAATTACCGCTTAAAGAAATTTTATTAACAGAGGGCAGTAATGTCAACGATTCTCATGCCGTCTATTGACGAATCATGTCTGATCGAACGTTTTCTTTACTCGTATAAATTTTGCTATTTTCTTATCGTGCATATATATATATATATATATATACATATATACATATATATATGTATATATATAAACATATATCTGTTAAAAAATCGAACTTTTGGCGCGTCGTACATCGTGTGCCCAAAATGTCTCTTTACTCGTCCTTGTCGTTGACTGTGTGGGTATTGAAAATTATTGTATCGAAGAATAAGTGGTCCTTGTGTTTGGGTATTGTTTCTTAACGTATGCATCGTATTATAATCCATATAAAAGATTTATTTATTCTACGAATATTTTATACATTTTTCATTATATTTTCTTTAGGTGTATTCCTCCTTCACATGTATGAACGCGCGCGCGCGCGCGCGCGTGTATGTTTGTGTGTGTGCCTACGTGTTTTGTGTGTATTATAATATTTAATTAATAATATTAAGTGGACGAGTGAAATGTACATTATGTTAAAAATAATCGAAATAACGAAGAACGATATACCGTCCAATGCTAAACATCTTCCAGCGATTGAATCGGTGAGACGAGTGAATCATAAATTGACATATAATGAATTTTTTCACACGTTTCTTATTGACAACGAACCATGTATTATCGATACCGTGATCACCGAAAGTTGGCCATGTAGACAGCAGTGGGTATTAAAAGACGCGCCAAATTTTGAATTACTCGGTAGACTATTCGGTGAGCGCTGGATGTTACAATGGAATTAAAATTATATATATATATATAAATATATATATATAAATATATATGTATATATATCTTTTCTATTTTATTTCATTTTTTCTAAATTATTTTTTAATATTTTACAGGTCAATGTTTGGTACCTATATCCGATTGTAAAAGAAGATATTATAATTCTCAACTTAAAAACGATATGAATATGCAAGAATATTTGGATTATTGGATTAAATATAGAAACAATGATTATACAAACGATATGCCACTTTTGTATCTGAAAGATTGGCACTGTGCAAAAATTTTTCCTGATTTAATTTATTATGAAGTACCCCATTATTTTGCATCAGATTGGTTGAACGAATATTACATTGCTAAGCCAGAATTAGAGGATGATTATATGTTTGTTTATATGGGACCAAAAGGAACATGGTAAATAAAATAATATACTTAATTTTGTATATATCATTTGTAAGATTATATGTTTTTCTTTTTTTTTTTTTTTGTTTACTTTATCTTACAGGACTCCATTGCATGCTGATGTATTTTTTTCATATAGTTGGTCTGCCAATATCGTTGGTAGAAAACGTTGGTTACTTTTTCCACCAAAAGAAGAAAATAAATTTCGTGATTCATATGGTCAATTGGTATACGATGTACTTTCTGAGGATCTTAAGGATCATTCTAAGTATAAAGAGTACGATAGTCAAAATATAAAATGTTTCGACGTAATACAAGAAGCTGGGGAGATTATGTTTATTCCATCGGGATGGCATCATCAAGTCTGGAATTTGGTAAGTACCATTTGATATGCAAATTAAATATTATTTCAAAGACTATTTTAAAATAAGCCAAGTGTCGTTCAATAGGAAGATACTATTTCTGTGAATCATAATTGGATCAATGGATGTAATATATATACCATATGGCTGAGTTTGAAACAACAATTATCTTCTGTTATGAAAGAAGTGGAAGATTGTAAAGATATGGTTAATTGGGTTGAACATTGTCAATTAATGTTGAAAGTTTCCCATGGAATGAATTATATACAATTCTATTCTTTTATATCTTTTATCGCAACTAAACGTTTAGATTTTATTACAAAAGGAATAAGAGTGAATTCCTTCCGGAAATACGAATTTGGAATTAATCATTGTTCCTTTGATCTTACCATGTTAAAAACTGTTTTGGAAGACTTTATTATCGAAACTAAGGAGAAATCAATTTATAGTTTGATATCTGCAGACGACCAACCGATCAATTTATTAGAAAAAATCAATTCTGTACTTCGAGATGAAGATAAGTAATATCATTTTATATGAAGAACGATTTACTGTGATTTTACCGATTGATATCATCGATATCGATTATCGTGACATCTAGCGATAAGATTTTGAAATTAATTTTTAAAGTGTGCCCCTGAGGATAGATAACACTTTTCACTCGCGTGTAAAAAGCACATCGATCTGTAAATACTTTTAATTAGATATAAAAAAAAAGAGGGTTGCAATAAAATTTTATTTTTTCAAATTTTTTCCAACGTTCATTTATACCTAATTCTTTTTCTCTTTTAATCCAATTATTTAATAGTTTAAATTATCTATCTGTGATCGTGTTAAATTAATGATAAAAATATACATCCTTGATAATAGTTAAGGGTAAAATGATTAAGAAAAATTTTAGGAAAATTTCAATTCGATCCTAAAAATAAATCTGTCAATTATTATACGTCCACTTGTATCTCAATATCTTCTTCATCTTCGGAAATAATAGTTTTTCCTTCGACATTTTTCGTCGAGTCTTCTAACATTTTCTGAGGAATCTCTTTTTGAGTCGAATCTGGATCAGCGATCGATGAATTATTATTTTCTCCTTGCTTGGTATGTCGCCATTTCATTCGCCGATTTTGAAACCATACTTTTACCTGAGAATAGATTTATTGAAAGACACATACTTTGACATTTTTCAAATTATTTATAATAATTAAAATAAAATACTTGAGCGTCGGTGAGTCCTAAAGTAGCAGCCAATTGTCTTCTATCGGGTTTTGTGATATATTTTTGTAAAGAGAATCTCCTTTCAAGACCTTTCCTTTGTAAAGAACTAAATACAGCTCTGGACCATGATCGTTTTCTTCTCGTATTAGTTTCCATGGTATTACCAAGATTGGAAGATGCCGTCGTTGTCACTGAAACGATACAAATATAATAATACAAATTATCATTAAAATTATATTTTCGTTCTTATAACTTTTTCTTGAAAATGAATCTTGATAAAGTTAACAAATCACGATTGGTTTACTAGTATAGAAGAGAAAAGTATGCAACATCTGTAGAAATTTACACATTGCTCTTGAAATATCCAACGCTGATAGATATTTTTAAGATCGCAACTCTATTCTCGGATTTGTAATGGCATTCTGCGAAAAATTTACATCAAATTTTTTCCCGCCAAAAATATTTTTTTTTCTTCAAAACTATAACATAAAAGTGTAAAGATCTATTATTTAAATCTACTTAGGATGTTTTAAAATATCTTTTCATCCTCTCCGTGATTCGAACAAAAGGAAGAAAGAAAGATAGAGAGAGAGAGAGAGAGAGTGAGGGAGAGAGTGAGAGAGAGAGAGAGAGAGAGAGAGAGAGAGAGAGAGAAGTGGCTGCAGAAAAGCATTGATGCCACCGAGAGCTTTAACTAAGCGTAGAAAGACACGCGGCGAAACCGCTGTTTATACGGCTTGTAAACGCACGGTGCCACTTAAGATGTCGTTTAAACACAGACAGGAAACACGAGAATACATTGGCGCATAAATATTTTGCCCTACTTGCTTCCTTGCTCCTTGCTATTCGAAAGCCAAAACGGTTGCCCATATGGTAACATTTGTTAATGACGTAATCCTGATCTGATGTGCTCTTCTATATTTCTTAGAAGATAATGATGAAAAGATAATAACAAAACTAGAAAATAATAATGACAATAATAATTATTTTATTTCTTTCACCTCTTGAAATTGCTCGAACAGCAGCTGGTCGATACAAATTTCCAAAATTATCTGTATTATTTCTTTGATAATTAATCATCGCTTGAGTTTCCATCGGAGTTTGTCTAAAGGGAAAACTGGAACAGGTACGTAGATCGCAACTTGTACAGCTTCCGGGACAAGGACATGCTACCGTAGAAAATTGAACTGCTAATGGTCTTAATACATCTTGCGATGGAATCATCGATGTTGGACTTGGACGTACTATTTTGGATATTATGCAGAAGAATAAATTAATATATATATATACATATATATATTTATATATTAATTATATACAGTTTATTATATATATATATATTAATTATATAATTTAATTATATATATATATTAATTATACTTTTAAATTATAATTATAGATTTTTATTTAATTATAAATTTTATATATATATATATATATATATATATATATATATATAAGTTTAATGATAATAATATCTAATTACAAATCTTATAATAATACATATCTATAATTATTCATTTAATTTAAAAATATAATATATATATATACATCCACACAAATACTCACACACACATATATATATATATTTATATATATATGTGTGTATATATACACGTCCAATGATTAGATCATGATTTTTGTCCTCACCTGTTCTCTTCGAAGAGAATTCATTAGATAAAATTCGTTCAACACCAAATTTTAAAATTTTCGGACGATTAACTTTTTCCAAAACATTTGTATTTTCACCGTTCATCGTTCTTGAATAAAACTATAATTTTACTACGTTGACAATAGATGATCTATTTTTTCCATCACTGTTTGATACACAATTTAACAATGACAGAAGTTATATGAATATGAACATGTTAAATGTTAATCACGCGCGACGGAATGATCACTGAGAAAATGCATAAGGGAATCTAACGTTTTGCTTTACTTAGCTTTGCCTTCCCAGAGAAGCCAGATTTTAGAGGAGAGTTAAAAATTCGAGTCAGCTTGGTACAATTTCGTCTTTCTCATTGGTTCACGAAAGTGATGTAGGCGTGGCTGGTTTGAAGACTCCTTCTTCCTCCTTCGAAGATGATGATGATGATGATGGTGATAATCTTTCTCTCTCTCTCTCTCTCTCTCTCTTTCTCTCTCTCTCTCTCTCTTTTTCTCTCTCTCTGTCTCTCTCTTTCTCTCTCTCTCTCTCACAAATGATTGTTACAAATTGATCCAACTTTATTCTTAATTACTAATTCGATCTTTCAATATAAATCGATCGTAAAATATTTATTATCAATATTATTTAAAAATAATTAAATACATTAATAGAATATATTTGAAATAATTCGCAATGAATTTACTTTTTGCTTTGATATTTTAAGAAAGCTTTTTATAATGATCGGCTATCGATTTTTACGGTATGAAAAAATATTAATGTATTAAAAAGAAAGACAAAGGAAAAAAAAGAAAAAAAAAAAAGAAAAAAAAAAGAAAAAAAATTAAAGAAAGAAAATGTTAGAGAGACGTCTATGATACCTCCGGTGGTAGCCATATGGTTATCTTTCTACGTGGGCCTTTAGAGTATACAGTCACTTAGGTGTTTATTTGAAGAGCCATGTTTGAAGCAGCCTCTACCCACACGCCAAGAATATTCTTCGGGATATGTACACATCGTGGTCCTCTATTCGATTTTATTAGGTTTTAGGATTTTCGAGGATCCACCGGATTTGTGATAATCAAAGCTTCGATTGAGTCGATTCGAGCCAATCGACGCTTTTATAGTGAAGAGCTGATGTATCTAACTATTACCTTTGATTCTGTCTAATCTATGTCCAATATTATATCTTTTTCTTCAGATTGAAATATTCATTGAAATATATATGATTTTTTTTTTTTTTTATATGAAATTTGTTAATGTTCGAAACGTGCATAAGTACGAGATAACATAATCATTCCTTGATAAAGTTTATCCGTTTGAAAATTATTTTCCATTGGATCCAAAACGAGAAGATTCCTTTTAGGTCGTTGATACTTCTGTAAATTCTGTAGATTCTACGAAAAAGATGAGAGAATCAGAATTTATGGTGTCTAGAGGAGAAGAAAGAGAGAGAAAGAGAGAGAGAGAGAGAGAGAGAGAGAAAGAGAGAGAGGGAGAGAGAGGGGGGAGATATATATATATATAAACAACAAAATAATACGATCGTGGATTTACCGAAAAAACGATGACGTTTCCATTGCCAGTCGAGTTTGTATTTCGCCTAATAGCTGTAATGATCAAAGTTAAGAGATAACCACCGAAAGCCAGGAAGGATAGTGCAGTGACAGCTAATTGAAAGATTTTGGAAATCTTCGTATCTTTGCCCTTTTCTTCATAATAATCGCCTCCATGACGTCTTATTGGTAATTTATTGTTTCTTTTTAATGGCAAGGCTATTGGTAATGTTGATTTTATTCGTCCTTCAGGCTCCTCATACTTCTCAATCATCGATGTTTCTGTAATAGTTCATTTATTTTGTCAGAGTGTATTTTTAAAAATGTTTTATTGCGTTTATCTTAATTGAATTTTGTGGAATATAGATATTGGATATAAATTTACATAGTTGCTTGTTTTCAATGAAAATTATTTTTAGCGATCTTGTTATATATTCTTGTTTATTTTATTTTCTGTATGTAATCAAAATGTCGTTGAGAAAAGAAATTTGATTAGTATTCAAATGAAGTAATAATTTTGAGTTTAAAATTGTATTGCAATGAGAATGAATTTTATTTAATATAACGCAACGTAATTATATATATTATAATGATCTGAACAAACGGTATTTTTTTTTTTTTTTTTTTTATTGAAATATTAAGAAAATAAACAAAAAAAATTCTGTTTGTTTTTTATACCGACCTAATATTGGCGCAATCGATGACTTGATTTTAATCAGCTTATCCAAAGGTAACTCGCTCAAACTTTCAATTTCATCCTGATAAATATCCGCAAAATTTCCTGTTTCGAATTTCCATAAAATAACTACGAAGAAAATAAAAATTCTTTGAGAATTCATCGCGTTCGGTCGTCAAACTAAAACTGTAACCGAGTTTTTCTTTAGCATCCTATTGTCGTCCGAATTGTTATGTGCTGTTAGTTTTTTTTAATGCTTGACTGACAGAGCGAAAAGTGCGTCAATTAAAATATAATTACATGGACACCCGTTACATAGAAAAAAAAAATTGATTCTTTTAGTCAGTCTTGAAATATTCTTTGTCGTGTTAAAATGTCCTCGATCAAAGTGATCCTACAATTCGTCCTCATTTTAATATTCTTTGACACGTTTGTTTTCGGAAGAGCAGATGGTAACAATTCTTCATAATTTTTTATATTCAATGAGTATTAAACAAAAAAAAAAAAAAAAAAAAAAAAAAAGAAAAAAAAAATATTATTTCTATCTTAATCACAGGGATGTTCGATAAGATAAAAACTGGTTTTCGTTACGCGAACGATTACTTGAAAATCGTCAAGGACGTTGCCAATCTTGTATCTCAAAGTTTAAATCCTGAAAAGGAAGAATCTTCTAAACGTGGAGATCGCGGAGGGGATGATAAAAATCAAGATTTTGGTCCAACCAATGTAATCTCAGCGTTCTTCAGATTACTCGGTCTTGATTCACAAAAGATCGCAGCTATTGCAGTGAACAGCGTTATTTTTCTTGCACAAATGGTAAGTTAAAATCAAAAGAAAAACTGAAGATAATATCTTTAACATTTTTCTATTCTAATTTTGCTAGATCAGTTCTCTTTTTGGATTGCCACCGGTGAAAGATGATAAAGTTGATCAATCCATTGAAACTGAATCACCTTGGGATCCATTGAAATTTATCCTAGAGAATAAAAATGATAAAGTGAGTCAAACCTAATTAATGATAAATTAATGATAAAACAAATTTCAATAAAATGTCTTTCCTTTTTAGATGACAAAATTGATCGAGGAGGCTCGTAACGAGGCACTTCCGGATCGATTGATGGACACAATAGATGGTTTCGATTCAGCCTGCATCAGATTGTTACTTTGTAAAGCATCAATAGTGATCAGATCTGCTCAAGAGTCTCTGAAGAAGAAGAAGTCAAACGGGATTCGTTCGTTTACCGCTTGGCTTCCATCTAAAGAAGACTTCGAGAGGAACTCCGATGAGTGTGAGGACAAATACACAGATTGTAGATTATTTCCGGAATCATGAGTTCAAGGAAGATGAAGAGAGGTAGAGAGAGGTAGAGAGAGGTAGAGAGAGGTAGAGAGAAAGAAAGAGAGAAACAGACAGACAGATAGACAGAGGAAGAGAAAGACGGAAGATCTAAAGATCCTGAAATAAAAGTACCAACAATGTGTCTATTATTATTTTTTTGTTTACTTCATTCTCTTACGGACGCTAATGTTTCATATTCATTTTGTACAGAATTTTTCATCGGTTCAAATGTTAAAAGTATTTTGTCACATTAAAACTATGCGACTTACTGTCGTGAATTTAAAATAATATCGATACGTAGATTAAAAATTCTTTCCCTTGTTCTCTTATTTTTTTTTTTTTTTTTTCTTTTTTTTTGAATAAAAATAACGCATGACAATCGATCTTTGCATATTTGCAAAATAACATACTAATAATCTTAATTCAATTGCATATACTATAAATAAGGTGAACGTAAGAAATATTAAGGACGGCACTGATATAAAGAACTATACTTTGGAGTTGAGATAATAAATGATATAAATATTAAAAAGCATATTATTCTAAATTATTCTAATTCGATAGTCGTTTAATTTATACGAAATATAAACGACATAGAAATCATTAGATAGTTTGACTAGAAAGAATATTTTTTTTTCGTTTATACTTCATTATTATTCTCTATTTCTCTCTCTCTCTCTCTCTCTTTCTCTCTCTTTTCATCTAATCATTCTTATTACTCATCAATAATCATCATCATCACTCCAAAGTGTAAGATCTCTAATTACATTACACATTACATATTTTTAATGAGATCACGATTATTGTGACCTAGGATCTATGCAGTTTAGATTTGCGCTATGAAACTTTCTAATCTCAAAATCTAATTAATATATCGAAAGTTAGTCACCGTATAATCCCAATCGAAGACTCAATCAAATTGAAAAAACATTTGGCAATATTAATACCTGTATTAATTTATCTTTTATATTTCGTGTTGTGGTTGTTTTTTTTTTCTTTCCTTCATTCTTTTCTTTTTTTTTCTTTTTTTTTTTTCTTTTTTAAACGATTAAAACGTTAAACTGATATATTATGTATGTATGTATATATAAAGGTTTTTCTAATCGCTATGATTTGGCAATTGAGAGACGTGCTTTGATTAATTATTATGTTCGGAGTATAATGTTACGTTCTTTTTTAATAGAACGATCAATCGGTAAGATATATATATATATATATATATATATATATATATATATGTATATATATATACACTATGTATATTGCGAGGGACATTGATCAAAGTATATATATATATATATATTTACGTATTCATTTTACGATTTCTAACGAAACGACATTTTTCCGTACCTGAGATATAATCGATTCGCGATCAATTAGGCGATTTGATTGATATTTACGTTCGAAAAGAAATCATCTCGATATTTATATGAAGAAGTTATGGGTATAAAAAACATATCTACGAGTATATATATATATATATATATATATATATATATATATATATATATATATGTTTGATTCTTTTTGATCATGCTTATGACATATCCTTCATTTTGTTTGTTTCTCTTTTATTTTTTCATTAACAATTTATAATTAAAAAAGTATCGAATAGATTTCTCAAATACGAACGATACCAAAAATCGAATAATCGAATAAATAAAAAGATTTTTTTAACTTTCGAAACCGTCTGATTCTTTCTCTCTCTCTCTCTCTCTCTCTCTCTTTCTTTCTCTCTCTCTCTCTCTTTCTTTCTTACATACATGTATATATATGCATATATTATACATACAACAATATACTGATAATGAATCGATCATAAAAATATATATACACAACGAGACTATTGGGAAAAGATTCGTTAGATCGTGATAATGTTTTTATCGATCATTTATCATTTCGAAAGGATTCCTATTTACAAGTAAATGGGCATAGAAATTTGTTAAAATGATTAATACGAACAACCAAGAACTCCAAGTCAATATTCAAATTGATTTTCATTTTTTAATTATTTGAAAGATTTTGTTCTGTTAAATCAAACAAACCAGGCACTTGTTTTTTTCTTTCTTCTAATCTTACACGTAACTATATTAATGATAATGAACGAACGAACGAAAAAAAAAAAAAAAGAGAAAACATATTTAAAAAGTAATTGACTTTTGTCCTTGACTTTTCGTACATATTTGTCGTAATATCTACATTTTTACGAGAAATCGCACGTGTTACACGAAAAATGGATTTTCCAAAAATGTAACTTCTAAAATATATAGAGTACACCTATACGCAAGAGGTGTATATCTCAAGAAACATATATATATATATATATATATATATATATATATATATATATATGTTTTTTTTTAATTATAAAAAAGTCGTCTTTCAAAGTAACATTTTTATCTATAAAAAATCTTTGGGATTGAAAGGAAACATAAGAATAATTCGAACATTTCTGTCACATATCTTCGAATAATTCCACATTTTTTACGTCGCGATCCTAAATCGTTGATTCGATAACATAAAGGAGATAATGAAAATTATTTTGTGTAAGATAATAATAATAATGATAATAATCGGCACACCCACGTTCGTATGATAGTCAAAAGACTTAAGATTCACGACTGAGGTAGTAGCAGCAGTGAACTCTAAGAGCTAAATTCGTTATCATATATATATATATATATATATGACAAGTAAATGATACAAACATTACATTCATACAGTGTATTACAGTGACATATTTAATGGGTGGTCAAGGCTCTATTTCAGGATTGAAATAGTATCGAAAATATTGGTATTTACAGTCTCCTTTTCTTACTTTTTTTTTGTTTTTTTTTTTTTTTTTTTTTTTTTAATCGTCGACTAGAATTATAATAGAGAAGTATCATCATAAAATATAATGCACTTAACAGCGTATATCTCCCTTTTCAAATCGTCGTTCAATTGGAATTAAAAACGTGATTACGTTCTCAACTACATTCTATATTAATGATCTTAAGAAACGATTGACGATCATGCTTTGTCGAAGACTCATGTCAGACCATTTTATTAGATAAGTTGGTCTGTTTATATTTGTCTCTATATATATATATATGTGTGTGTGTGTGTGTGTGTGTGTGTGTTTGTGTTACAACTATTTCAATCATAAAATAGTATCGTTCACCCTTTCTCTAACTAAAGTAAATCGTCTAATTCGTCGTCTAATTCAAGAGTTTCGATCAGTGAAATAGTCGAGGAACTAATCAGCAACAACGTTTTACGAAAATGATATCGAAGTAAGAATTTCACAGCTACGGATAAGAGATATACGAGGAAGAAGTATTTTTGTTATCGTGAAATATGATTTGTTTTATCTTTAGAGGGTTGCTTGTCCAGGGCCAATTATGTCGGTTGTCTCGACACGAGCTTGTCTTAACCAATCCCTGAGATTTCGAGTTCTATCAGCCAAATTTGAAGAACTCTTTTCAACGGTGTTTCCAACGCTTGTAGTGAACCCACTATTAGGACCATATTGAGCGATTATGTTTTGAGTGGTTGTTGTTGTTGGTGGTTGCGCTGCGGTCAGTTGAGACAAGATATTTGATTGGATGTTCGGAGTGCCAAAGGTTCCTATAAAAAATTAATAAAAGATATGTCCTTTGTTCGTATAAAAATCTATCATAAAATTTTACTAAAGCTATATCATTATTTGTGTAAACCTTGTATATTGGTCGTTGAAGCAGTAAGAGGATGAAGACGTAACCATCTTAAATAGGAATACATCAAAGTAGGTGGTGGTGGTATATTACTATCTTGACGTTTATTCAGGACACTCCAAATCTCACGTATTTCAGAATTAAGATTCTCTAAATTAGCAATTATCTCTGTTGACTCTTGATAATGATCTAGCTTATCTGAACGAACAGAAGGAACTATGAGAGAGTTCTCATACGATTAAAAAGTTTTTTTTTTTTACCTAATCGACTTTACCTATAAAGGTATCAGTTCCAATATCTGTCGAACTGAAGCCGCTACTGGCGCTTGACATGTCGCTTAAGGTCAATTCGTCATTCTTTGTCGATGTAGCATCATTTTCGTTCCTTTTAGCATTTGCTACTCTTTCTAAGGATTGTTCTAAATGTCTCAGATGAATGACCTTTTCGCCTAAAAGACTTCTGGTACGATGTAAGCTAACTTCCATGTCAGAGAGTTCACGTTCTTCCTATAAATGACAGGATAAACTTGTCAATTACATTATCTATTTATATACTAATCGTTACTTTGATATTTTCTTTACCTGGACCAGCTGTTCTAACGTAGCTCTAGCACTTCGTTGTTTCAAAGCTCTTTGTCTACCCTGAAAAGCATTCCTCTGTTGTTTCAATGCTTCTCTAGCCCTTCTTACTGAATCCCTTTCCACGTGTATCCGATGCCGAAAGAATTCTAACTCCGAGGAGGCATTCGCTGGTGCTAAAATTATCATAATTACAATATAATATCTCTTTTTAATTTTATTATAACTTAGGTCAGAGAAAGAGAAAGAGAGAGAGAGAGAGAGAGAGAGAGAGAGAGAGAGAGAGAAAGAGATAGAGAGTGCATCGATCGAAGAATGAAATAAAAATAGATTGTGCAAATACGATGGAAAGTTCAAAGTTCGACCTCGAGAATGAAATGAAAGGAATAAAAAATAATTAAAAATATCAAACTTTTCTTATACATAAGTTGACTTACGAAAGAAGAGAGACGAAGGGACGTAAACGGTTAACCAAAGTAAAGTGTATAGATTCCTAGGAGAAAAATTATATAGTATGTACTTTGTATAATTTATAAAAAAAAAAGAAAAAAAAAATAATAAAAGAAAAATAAAAATAAAAAGAACAAAAAAAAAAATAAAATAAAATAAAATAATCGAGTGATAGGAAGATACAGCAAGGAATAGGTTAGTAGAATAAGTAATTTTCATTTTTAGATACTTATTTCGAAATAGCTTTGTCGATTTTATCTTTAGAGATGTATTTTGATCTTGTTTCGACAGACGCTCAAGTGAGAATGATTGTATCGACGCGTTTTGTTTACTAACGAGCTTCCAACGAACTCGCTTACGATAAGTATTATTTACGATTTCTGTTGTCATAGAAATAGTTAGATAGATTGTTTACGTTGAATTATTATGATTATTCGATTAATACAGCTTATCGACATATGTGAAGAATTTGAAAAAATGATTTTTTCATATAACGAGAATCTTTTAAATTCATTGTTAATAAATTTTTGAAAATGATTTATAAATACGATTCTCTTATCTGTATCTTATAAATATTATATATTTTTGTTTTTAAAGATCCATATAAATTAATTAATACGTGATTATCGTATTTTAAACGTATGTTCGGATTAATTAAAAAAAAAAAAAAAAAAAAAAAAAAATTGTCAAAATATTCCCGTAACAGTTTTCCTAAAAAATTTGGACAAATTGAATAAATGTATCTGAATAAAAATGGAAATCACTTGTTTTGCAAATGTATACATATATATTGAATAATAAAAGCGTTTTTAGAAAAGGGAAAGATTTAGAGA